TTTTTGTTACAGTAACATACTGTTTTAAATACTATGGCTTTGTAGTATAGTCTGGAGTCTGGAATTATGATACCACCATTCTTCCCCTTTTTTGTCTGATGTATTTTGGTATGTCTTCATTTGGTGAGTAAATATTGATGAGTGCTAAGTCTTCCTATAGTGTTGTTCCCTTAAACATTATATAGTGTCCATCCTTGTCTCTTGTTACCTTTTTAAGTTGGAAGTCTATTTTTTATGGTATAAATATGGCTGTCTCTGCCTTCCTTTGGGTGCCATTTGCTTGTAGAATTGTTTTACATTCCTTTACTTTCAGTCTATGTTTATCCTTGAACTTTGGTGTGTTTCCTAGAGACAGCAAAAGATTGGACTCTTGTTTCTTGATCCTACATGGTACTCTGTGTCTGTTTATGGTTGAGTTCAATCCATTTATAATTAGAGTGATTATTGATAAATGAAAGTTTGCTACTGCCATTTTGTCCTGAGTTTTAGTCTATTTAAATGCTTGTTGTTTTTGTATTTATTCCTCTCTTTGGTTTAAATACTAAAAGAGACTTTTATTATTTCTTGGAGGGCCGGGGTTACTGGTTACAAACTCCCTATGATTCTGTTTGTCTGAGAAGGTTTTTATTTCTCCTTCATATCTTAAGGGGAGCTTTGCAGGATAACACATTCTTGGTTGGCAATTTTTCCTTGGAGTATTTTGAATATTTACTTCCATTCTCTTCTTGCCCATAAGAAAGACTCCTTAAAAGAAGTCTGATGTTAGCCTAATTGAAGTTCCTTTATAGATTATAACTTCATTCTCCCTCATCAACTTTGTTATTTTTTTCTTAGTCTTAAACTTATAAGTCTTGTTGTAGTTTTCTTTTTGTTTAGGTAGCCTGGTGTTCTTTTAGCTTCCTGTATTTGTGTGTTCATGTCCATCTTCAAATGTAGGAATTTTTCTTTCATTATAAATTTAAGTAGTTTCCAGTTCCCTTCCCTTTCCTTCCTCCTATCCCTTCTGGGAGGCCTATGATTCTTAGATTTATTTCCTCATGGTGTCAGATATTCTCAAAGTGTTCCTGCATTTTTCCCTTTTGTAGCTCTCTTTTTCTGTTCTGAATCTTTCCCATTTTTGCACATTTGAGTTCATGGCTTCATTCTTCCATTTGGTTTATTCTACTTCCATGAGTTTCTCCAGAATTTTTCATCTTTTACATTGTCTTTCTAATTTTTGCATTTCTATTATCTTCTTATTTAGCATTTCAATACTGATCTTCTGTTCATTGATTGTGTTTCTCACAGCATTCATTTGTTTTTCTGAGTTTTCTAGCATATCTCTAAACTATTTTTCTGAGTTTTCTTTGTATTGTTCCAATTCTTTGATTTTCTTAATTATGGCAATTTTTAATTCTGTATCTGCTCGGAAGAAAAGCTCTTCCATGTCCTTGTTGTTTCTGGAGATTTATTTTCTCTTTGTAGTGTATCATTCCCCTGAGGACTTACTTGGTCATTCATATTTTTCTTTATTCCTATAGTTTCCTTTTTGTTTGTTCTGCTGTAATTGGGGTTTTTCAATGTGGGTTTCTTCCTCTCCCACTGTTCATGGTATTTACCAGTTGGTGGGCATGGCAGCTGGGTCCCATGGGGCTTGGTGTGGTGCTGGAAGTTCCCCCTGAGATGAGTGGGGACCAGGATCCAGGCATCATGGTGTCTGGGGCTGGATGGAGGGTGGAAAGGGGAGCGGGCTGGGGCAAACGTGGATGGACATCAGGCTTGCAGCTCATCCCAAGACTGGATGGGGTTGTGATCTGGGTGCTTCAGCATCCAGGACATATTCTATCTATTCTTATTACTAGAGGTAGAGCCCACTGTTGTATCCAATATTCACATATTGATAAATTGTGTGACTATCTTTTGCAACATTTCTAAACAAAATTAATGAATAATAATGACTTAAAGGTCACAACTCTTAGCTACTCATATTTTCTAATATTCTACTGCTAGTCAATATTCATTCAACAATGACTAAATGGAAATGATTCTGGGAGATAATTTAAAAATGAGAAGCATTGGGTTTTCAAAAATTCCTTACATGTCATATTATTTTAAATAAATGTTGAAATGCAAATATGAGTTGACCTATACTTGATGATCCCTTTTGATTTCATTATCCAATGTCTTAACATGGAAGACCTTGACAGTTCAACAATTCTTTTCTGTTCTCTTTCCAGGTTGCTTTTATTTTTAATTTGGAGAAGGGAAATGGCATTTTACTTCCTGCTTTGTATGGACTCAAAAGTCATAAAGTTGTAAAGAGGAGAAAAAATTGTCAATTTCTTAAAGGTTAAATGCAGGAAAATTAGAGTGTCTGAAAGGGCAGAGTCTGAATGGATTCAGTGCTGAAAGCTAGATAGCACTGGAGAGTAAATGCAAGATGAGAACTGAACCAAAAGATTAGGCAAAGGTAAGTACGTAAAAACAGCCTGGGTGACACCCTTCCAATTATTTCACTTAGCTTTGTGTTTTCATTGAGTCGCAATGAGTACATGCAATCATGTCTCCACATAAAAGAATAATGGAATTGTGTTTTGAGTGGGCCACTAATTCTAGAGGGAAATCTAATAAAGGGTAAAATGTCCCTTACTTCTTGCCCCAAACCTTGGGCTTTGAAAATTATAGCACTGTAGATGCAAGGAAAATCTCAGGAGACCAGGGAAAAAACTAGATTCTAATTGTTGAGTGTAATAGGGCTAGGGTCCTTTTAAATTTCACACAGAATTATCTAAAACAAATTCTGCTGGTGTAAGTTTCAATGTGGGGAAGACTGATACTTTTTGTTCTTACCATTGCTTGAAACAGTGACAAGCACCTAGAACAATCAAAGGAAGGATTTCTCCTTCTAAGACCCTTCAAGCTTGAAGATTTTTTTTATTCCCCTATGAAAATACAGACTCAAGAAGATTTCATAAGAGCAGAATTCCACCTCTAGCAATCTCTATAAAAGACAATTACTGTAATGTTTCAGAATTTAGTCTATCCTGGCAACTTTTACACATATATTTGGGTCCACCTGTACTAAGAAGCTGGTCTTGCTCATTTTTCTCATGTCAGTACTAAAACCACCCTATTTGAATATTTTGAAAGCATTGAAAAACAGAGATTGATTCCACCCCCTGCCCTCCACACACACACACACACACACACACACACACACACACACACCCCACCATCACCATCACCACCACCACATTAAAGGCACTGGAAACCAATAAAGAATAATTTGGTACAAAGCTGTCACTCTATGAATCTTTAAGCAAATTCAAGCATAAAATGTGCAAATACCTATTAAATGAACCAGATGTTTCTGGTGTCTAAATGATTACTTGGGAATAAAAGATATCTTTAGGACATCATCAACTCCTTTACAACTTCCAAAGCCCCTATCCACCCTACTCTTTAGGAATATCAGAAGCACCCACGTAACCTGAGTTAATTAATACTAATACATTGTGGAAGAAGTCTTTCAAAGACATTTATCAGCTTCATCAACAGAAATAAGATTTAGAAAATCTGATCCATGGCACCCTGGAGGAAATAATAATAAGTAATAGCATGTCTGCCTTCAACTTATCTATCAGTAGATGGAGAAAAGAATAACTGAGAAGATCATTTTTTTAAAGGGCTGTATAAGTTACATGCAAAATGAGAGGTATTGTGATATTGTGGTTTATAATACAGGAAAGAGAGAGAGAGAGATTCAAAAATCTTTCCCATTGTTAGAATGTGTCTGACCACATGTTCAAATATAATTACTCTAGGTATTCTTATTTCTTGAGTTAGACCCCACTGCTGTATGCCTGAATCTAATAGTCACAGGTTGCTAAATTGTGTGACTAACTTTTGCAATATTTGTAAACAAAATTAATGAATAAATTGACTTAAGGATCACAATTCTTAGCCACTCATATATCATAAATATACATGGTCTGAGTCCTCATTTATGGCACAGAGCTCCTAAAAGTCATGGAATTTCCTAAGTGGTGAAAATCATATAGGGGTCTTTTGTTCTGCGAATGAGGTGACATTTGGAAGCACCTAAGGACAGGAGCTAGTACTCGGGGGAACCAAATGAAACTGAAGAGTCTGAATCAGCTTCAGCTGCTGATTTCCAGGGAGGATAGAGGGCCTGGATGTTGTCTTAATTGCCAATAGCCAGTGATTTAATCAATCAAACCTAAGTAATGAAGTCTCCATGAAAGCTCAAAAGTTGAGAGAGCTTCCAGGTTGGAGCTCTATGTGCCAGCCTGTAGAACTTCAAAGTCCACTAGCACAGAAACTCCTTATTTCTTCATGTGATTGTTGATTAGTATTCTTTGAAATCATTTGTAAATTAGTCATCTAGCAAGTAAATTGGTTTTCTGAGTTCTGAGAACTACTCTAGCTAGTTTTGTGAGCCAATCTAGGATCCAAGGAGGGGTGCCTTAGCTCTGATTTATAGCCAGTAGATCAGAAGCATAGGTAATAACAAGATCTGCAACTGACTTCTGAGGGAGAGGGCAGTCTAGAAAAAAGAGCTCTTAACTTGTGGGACCTGATGTTATTTTCCAGGTAACTCATGTTAGAATTGAGTTGAACTGCAGGACACACAGATGATGTCAGAGAAGTGCTTGGTGGTGTGGGAAAACTCTAACAGATTGAATTTGAGTACAGAAATTTAGGTACAAAGAAGTAATTTAAGAAATGAAGAGTTATAACCCCCTGATTGGAAAGGACCTTAAAAATCTTTTAGCCCTATTACTTGATGCTTGTATCCACTTTAAAAGTGAGTTCACATTTATTGTGTATTATTGTGCCAGGTACTATGCAAAGCATTTTGAAAATATATATTCATTGTTTCACACAACATAACAAATTCTTGAGGTAGGATTTTCAAAAGTCAGAAAAGAGTAAATAACTTATCCGAGATGCACTATTAGCAAGAACAGAGCAGTGATTCAAACTCAGTTCTTTCTTACCTGAAGTCCATGTCTTCCATGGAGTCATACCTCCAGTGTGAATGACAACGTCCTAGGATCCTTTCCTCACTTGTGGAGACTCAGCTCATCCCCAGTAGCTCTTCTAATCATTGCTTGCTGGGAAGCCCTGTAAGGGATACACAGAGGTGACTGTTTCAGAAAGAAGGAAGTCAGGAAGTTAATTAGAGAGATAATTGGCAAAGGTAGTTGAGCACAGTGCTATGAAGCTGTCCGCAGCCTCTGCAGTGCCAGTTCGATCCCTGCTGGCTGCAAAGATACCCACATGGCACAGCAGACCTCTCCTATCTCACCCGCTACTCCCTTCAGCAGTGTTTTTCAGTCAGTCTACCTGTTCTATTCCCTGCTCTGTCTCTGGTGAATCCTCTTACCCTCCTGCACATTTGGCCTATACCCCGGTTCATGTATAAATAAATAAATCTTTAAAAAAATAATTATAATTTAAAAAAGCAAATTTCAAACCAGACCAGAAATGCATGGAATGCGAATTTGTACTTTATTTGGAATAGACATTGAAGGAATTCAACTTTGTACTGTCAAACTCAGTATGGGTAACTAAGAGAGTATTGCTATTTTTTAACAACTTTGCTTCAAAGATATTATAAAATATAATTCAAATATTGGGAGACTTATAAGGAGATAAATGCAGTAGAATCCAAAAAGCTTCAAATGTAAATTTAGGACTAAAATTCATGATTAACTGACAAGGCATACAATGGTTATTATTGACCATTTGACAAAAGTCACTTAGTTTTAGAATTTATTTTCTATTCAACACTTTTGCAACATTGACAATTCTCCCTTGAGTTTCACTTTGTTTCTTGTTTGTTGGTTTATTTAATTTCAAAGACAATTAGATGAGCCAAAGTAATGATTCTACACAGATGTATAAGTGTATCCTGAGATGAATAAATTATGGACATTTCAATAAGTAGCAAATGGAAGGGAAGCAGCTGGTTGCTTGAACACAGATGGGTTTATTGGTTGGAATAAACTTCATCTTGTCTTTTTTAAAAAACTAAGCAATTTTGGCCCCTTTTGTTGCTTTGTGAAGAGTTAACCAAAGAATATAGTTCTTCATGCATTGCTCTTTGACGGCTAAAGCTAAATATAATGATCTAAAGATTTTTTTCTTCCTCAGTGGCCTAGGTATGTAGATTTAATCTCTGTATGTGAACCTTAAAAACTAGATAAACATGCTTCATAACTTGATGAAAAATTATACATGTGTGATATAGGCTCTTAACTCTGTGACAGACTATTCTACAAATGTGAATGAAAGAAAAAAAAATCTAATAAAGCCTTTCCTTCACTTTGTTCTTTTCTTCATAAAAAACAGTTCCATTTAGTAATGTAAAATAATAGGGAAGTCAATGGTAGGATGTTTAAGAATTCTTATATAAATAGAGTTATTGATTAAAACATCTTTTAAAAAGGAAATTACGTTATTTCACTGTTCCAAGGAGCAACTGTATACATGAGGAAATGAAAAAATCCCTGACATTGCATTAAATATCTTGCATAATCTGACTGCAATCACACTGATTAGTTTAGTTGTTAGTGATGTTAAATAGCATAACACTTGCAAAGATTATTTAAGGGAAAAGAGAACAGTAGAGGTTAAGAGTTGGGGAACTAGAGTCCATTCTGTGTGGGTTAAATTGTGGCCTACCATTTGCCAGTTTAGTAACCACAATGAAATTAATTAAACTGTTTAAGCTTTGTTTTCCTCACTGAATGGAGATAATGACTCTACCTTTTCTGTAAGGTCATGAAGAAGGTCAAATGAGATAATGAACAAATGTTTAGCATAGTGCTCAGTTTTATGCTCAGTATGTGTTCTATTTGTTTTTGTGGCTGTGTTATTGTTGCCGTTGTAATTTTTATTATCTGATTTCTCATATATTTTCCCCTGAAGTTCCATCTGCCCAGAATGTTCTTTCATCATTTCTCTGAACAGTCAAATTGTATCAGTCTTATCTACCATTTCTACCATTATATTTTGGCAATTTACTATAAGTAGAAATTAATTCTCTTTCCTCAAAAGCATTATAATTGATATTGCCAGTGACAGACATTCATACTTAATTCTTACAGGTTTACTTAGGTTTTTATCTCATCATGCTTTTCTCAGTATACAGTCAGCTCCTTGAAAGCAAATACTACAACTGTTTCTACATACCTAATATATTTTCTTGCACAGAATTGTAAGCAATTGATTTTCATTATTCCAATAGCACACAATAAATCCAAATTTCCTTCATCTTACATAAAATGTCTATATAATTATCTTACATTTATTTCACTGTTCATGCTTATTAGGTGTCAGACACTTGTCTATACATTTTAATGATTCATTTTCTTTAATTCTCATGTGACCCTGTGAACTAGGTATTTTTAAAATCATTTTAGATCAGAAGATATTGAGGTATGGGAGTTTTTAAAAACACTTTTTGTAATATTACACTTCCTAGTGTTCCCCCAGTTACTGGCACAGACCTTCTAAGACTGTTTATTTCCTAAATGATAAGAGCACAGGGGGATCTTTTGTTCTCATGTTCTCATTTTTGGTCTTTGACCTGGGTTCCTGACAGAGCTCTCAAATCCCTTGGAATTTCCTGGGTGACAGTAGAGTTTTTGCTCTAATGAGATGACTTTTGGCAGAGGCCCCTGTAGAGTTGTATGATGGGGACTGATCACCAGAAAGACAACAGCATGATTAGAAGTTCGAAACTTCCAGTTCCACACACACACTCATTCTCCAACAAGGAGAGAGGCTGCAAATTTATTTAATGATGGATCATGCCTTCATGACCAAACCTTTATAAATAAATATCCCAAAATACTGGGATCCGAAAGATTCCAGGTTGGTGATGAGGTGACCATGTTTTGAGAGCACCACATACATGGAGTGTGGAAGCTCCGCCCCCTTTCCCCATGCCTCGCTCCATGCATCTCTTCATCGGGCTGTTCATCTATGTCCTTTATTAGGGACTTTGGTAATAAGCTGGTAAATGTCAGTGTTTCTCTGAGTTCTGTGAGTCATTCTAGCAAATTATAGAGCCCAAGTAGGGGGTCCTGGGAGTTCTGATTTACAGCTGGTCAGTCAGAAATAAAGGTGACAACAGGGGAACTGCAGTTGACATCTGAAGTGGGGGTGGAGGGGGTAATCTTACAAGACTGAGTTCTTTTTTAAAAAAAGATTTATTTTTATTTATTTATGCATACAGGAACTGTGGTGTAGGCCAGAGGTATAGGGGGTGAGAGGATTCACCAGAGACAGAGTGGGGAACAGAACAGGTGGATCTGCTGAAATACACTGCTGAGAGGAGCAGCGGGCAAAGCAGGAGAGGTCTGCTGCACCATGTGGGTTAGCTCCCTGGCCAGGAATCAAACTCAGACTGCAGTGGCTGGTGACAGCTTGAGAGCACTGAGATTTTAACCCCTGCACCACCAGGGAGGACCACAACTGAGTTCCTTAGCTGAGGTCTGACCTCATCTCAGGTAGTGAAGGACAGCCAACTGGTGTCAAAGATTCACTTGATGCAAGAAATCTACACATATGTTGGCAAAAGTATAGTGTGTGAGTAAAGAAGAGATGTAGAAATGGTTTTTTCCTTCACATCAAGGTTACATAGTCAGTATAAGATTGAGTGGGATTCAAACCCAGCTGACTTTGTCTAGACAGACCATGTTAACTTCTGTTCAATACTATCTACCTAATATATTAAGATTACCCATAATTCATACTATTTAAAGCACAATAATTAAATTCAGTATTTAAAATCACTAAAAGACCACCTCTATTATCTTTTCAGTTTCTTTTAGTTTGGGCTAGAAATAGAAAGCAGAGAAATAACTGTAGTAGATGTCACTATCTTCTTTGAGTGTCTTTTTTAAAGAATTGGAAATGTGTCCCTATTTCCATAATGAGAAATCAAGCTTAAAGATGGCAAAACAAAGTATCTTAAAATAGGACTATCTTGGTTTACAAAAAAGAGGGGTGGAAATAATAAAGGATATATTTTGAGGGGTGAAACCTCATCTGACACAGTTCAAGTGAATTTTCTCTTTAATTAAAACATACTACTATTGTAACTATCAGGAAAGAGAAAAGCAGGCCGGAGAGCAGGAGTTCATCTGGCACTAGGCCTTAATGTTCTTCTAGTGAACATAATCTAATTCACAGAAAATCAGGAGACCAGAATGGATCAGGACAAAAACATCATCACTTCATAATCATGTCTGAACCCAGACAAAATCCAGGACATTTTCCAAACCACAAAAATGACCAAATGTCTGCTTAACCTGGCTATAATGAGTGGCTGCTGCTCCTTTACCAATTACAGCTTGATTCTCCTCCATCCCTCTGTCTTTGAAATGAGAATTATTAAAGTAAGGAATCATAGAATTACCCCTGCTCTCCACAGCACCCAATCCAAAACAAAGATTCCTTCTTTGAGCCCCCTCCAAAATCACCTAACATAAGCCCAAATCCTATGGTTAGTTCTTCACAATATTCTCTTATTGGTAAGTTACACTGTTCCCCATGACACACATCTTCCCTCATTGTAACATGTCGGTAACCAGTTTTGTTCAAGTACAGGTGTCCTGGGGCTCTTGAACTGGAAAGCACTGGCACTATTACTACCACTATTTTATTTTATTATTTTTTTATCATAATAGACTTTATTATGATATTTGTTTAGTTTTTTTAATAAATTTTATTTTTATATTTCCCATACAATTGCAATCCCCTTATTTTGACCCCAATCCCTCCCCTCCCCACCCCCCAACCCCCATAGAGTGTCTCTGGTTCATAGTTGTTTGTTGATTTTGATTCTTATAGTTATTCATTTTCCTGGTCCCTTATTAAAGTTTTCTAGATTCCTGCTATGAGTGAGACCATCCGATATTTTTCTTTTTCTTTCTGGCTTATTTCACTGAGCATGATCCCTTCCAGTGCCATCCATGTTGCTGCGAATTGCATGTGTTTATCTTTTTTGAATGCTGAGTAATATTCCATGGTATATATGTACCACATCTTCTTGATCCAGTCATCTATTTTTGGGCATTTGGGCTGTTTCCAAAGCTTAGCTATTGTAAATA